CTTGGTTTACTCAGAAAATGCCATCAACAGCTTTAGCATGTGTGGTGGTTTGAATAAGAACAGCGCCCATAGGCTCATAGATTTGAATGTTTAGTCATCAGGGCATGGCACTACTGGAGAGGAGTGGTTGGAGTAGGTGTGGACTTGTTGGAGGAAGTGTGTCACCGCGGGTAGGCTTTGGGGTTTCAAAAGCCCAAACGGGCCCTGGTGTCTCTCTCTTCCTGCTGCCTGTGGATCTGGTTGTAGAACCCTCTGCTACTTCTCTAGCACGTGTCTGCCTACATACTGCCATGCTCGCTGCCATGATGACAACGGACTGACTACACCTCTGAAACTGTGAGCAAGCCCCAATAGAATGCTTTCTTTGATAAGAGTTGCCACAGTCATGATGTCTCTTCCCAGTAATAGAACACTAAGACACTGTGGGAACCTGGCAAAGAAACTGATTACTAACAGGAAAGAGTTGGTTCTATACTGCAATAAAGTGATGGTTACCTAATTTGTTAAGATTACTCAGAACATGGGCATCCTTTCGCTCAGCCTTACGGTTAGCGCTGTATTAAATATATTCTTTTTGTGTCGTTCTCTTCTTTATCGCTAAATCTCCCGATGTCACTTGGGAAAATGATTTGAGTACCTTCTCGGGCCTGCCATGCTCCCATCTTTGGACTGGACTTTGATGGGAAGGAATTTGTCCAGATTCTGAACCCCCAAATTCAGGATGAGGAATCTGCATTGGTTCCCACTGTGGTATCGGAAGAAGGAGCATTTCAGTCAATCGCGTGGTTGGTTAGCAAAGACTTTGACTCTGAATGCCCATGGAATGCCAAATGTGTTGACCCAGGCTGGACCACATGAGAACTTTTCAGATTTCTATGTAACATCCCTTTTGCACTCCACCTGACGTTGGTACTAATCCGAGCAGCTTGCTTTATCTCTTTTTCCTGAGGACCAGACATTAATTAAGGCTTCACTTATACCCTTGGTTCATCTCAATACAACTTCTCTCCACCTCATGAATCTGGAAAGTACTTCTCTTGATCTAGGACAAAGTTGGAGGTGAAGAAGCTATGACCTCGAAACTCCAGCCATCTCTCAAGTTTTGCATCTGTAGCCAGGAGCCTCTGAATCTAAGGTGAATGACTAAGCACAGTGTCCCTATGGATGAGTACTGGGGCTAGTGTTTCCAGTGCTAGGAGTCGGGTAAAGAATGATTGGACAGTGGATTGTTCAAGCCTTCTCTTCTCTCCATTGGACACTTTGACTCCACTGGCATCTTTTGGATCTGCCTCAGAGATGTGACCTAGTCACATAAGCCACATGAGCGATATTGCCAAAACTTAATCTAGAAGTCATCTGAGTGGCAGATCAGCAGGGGAAAAGATCAGAATCCTGACAATCAAGGCCATTACAATGTCATGGATGACAAGCCAGGAAGATTGGCCCCAGGAGAGAAAGCTGGTTAAAAGAACAACAATGCAGAAATGATTCTCAGAATGTGTTGAAAGATGTCCAAGTAAGTTTAGAGAAATTTTATTTTCTGAGTTTCTGAAATGGCATGGAAGACACATAAGGAAATTATGGAGGCAGGCACTAAGGCCTTTCAATCCAAAATTGGAAGGATTTCAAAGTATAAAACCTCTTTGACTGAGCATGGGGTTACATCCTGACCAGTTCATCTATATTAGTTATCCGTGTTGCTGTAGCCAAAACCCCTGGCAGAAGTAACGTAAAGGGGGAAGGCTTACCCTGGCTCACGGCTTAGGGGGACACAGTCATTAGGATGGCAGGGACAGTTCCAACCCTGGAATTGGGAGGACAGACATGAAACAGAGAAGGAACTGGCTTTACCCTTCAAAGACTCACACAAATGACTCATTAGCCAGGCCTCTCCACTGCCACTAGCTGGGGGCCATGTATTCAGACATATAAGCCTGTGGGGAACTAGAGTGTGATCCCAACTTGAAAATACCATTAGGAAGAAATTGCTAAATATTAGTACTCCTGACCTACCAAACACAGAGCTTAGTTTCACAACACACTGTAGATGGCCACTGCCCCTTTAGGAAGATGGAGCTCACTGTTGCTACTCATTATTCCAAGACAGTATAGTCTCACGTGCCACTCACTCACTAGAGGGTCAAAATGCAAAACCCAAAGTCTGGTTTCTATTGAAAGTGGACTGCTTTTGCATCATTGTGAAATCAACAAAACCCAAGTCCAGATGTTTTCCATAGAGGACAATCTGTAGAATGAAAGGTGATAATAAGATGTAGACCAAATCCAAGTATAAGGATGCTGCTGATGCCTCTTCCTCTTCACTCCAACTAGGTCAGTTATTAATTCTATAATATGCCGCCCCCTCCCCATTCTGCACACATTTGGACGAAGTCCCTCCTGTAACATCCTGTCGCTAATTCATTCCCAGGCTGCCCCTCTTCCGCCTGCAGCAGTGGCTCCCTCTTACTGGTTCCCACTATCAGATGGTGGTTCCCTGGCCCAGAAAAGGCAGGGATTGTTGGCAGAACTTCTCTGACTTTATTATTTCACAGGACGGACTGCCAAAGACAAAATATAAAAATCCCTCCTGAGAGTTCATTACCAGCCACATTTTCTCATATCCAATTTCATTCTTCTCTTCCAAGAATCCTAAATAGGAGTAGATATTGATTTTGGAAATATGTTCCACAAATAGTAAGAGATAGCAAAGCCTACTCTGAACTGTGATGTTTAAATCTACATCTTGTTTCATTCAGATAAAACAAAACTATGTGCTTTGTCAGGGTTAGGGGGACCTAACAGAAAAACATTCTGTATTTAGCAGTAAAAATAAAAAAAAATCTTTTTACCACTTTTTTCTGTGCTTGGAGTGAATACAGTATCTAGGGTCGTGCCTTTGCAAGCCCTTCTACAGGTTAGAAAAATCAAGAAGGAAAAATTCACCTGCAATTTTGATACACAACTTGACAGGACATGGGTTTCAACTCACGAACATTCTGAAAGACTTGTCTCCTGGAAAATGTCCATGTAGATAAAGTACTTAGGCAAGACAGGGCAGCATGGCGGCGTTGAAACCAGTTCTTACGCTTTTTGTGTGCTGCTGCGCTTTGGCTCTTTGCATTAAATATTTGGAATAGTTTCTATCTCTTTATTAACTGGTGAAATTAAAACAGGCTAGATCATTGTGTGTGTGTGTGCGCGCGCGCGCGCGCGTGTGTGTGTGTGTGTGTGCGCGCGCGCGCGCGTGTGTGTGTGTGTGTGTGTGTGCGCGCGTGCGTGCATGCGTGCATGCGTGCGTGCGTGTTATTTCTGATTGGTCAAGTTTGAAAGTTTCCTGGAGAATAGTAGTAATAATAATAATAAGTCACATCCGTAATGCCTTCTTTCTGAGCAGCCTGGGGAACACAAGGCTGGCAACAGAAACGGGATTATATTCAGAACCTCGCAGCCTTGCATTAGCAAGCTATCGTTTTCAGACGCAAAGGCACAGTTAGACTCCGTACATAGATACTGTCTCCTAGTTAGTCTCACATGAAGAGCACATCACACCCGGAAGAGTTCACGTGGCCCTTCCCTGTGCTCACAGAGAGCACAGCTGACAGTGTGGTTTTCTCGGTCAGTGAGTGTGAAAGCGAAGCCTGGTTGTTGTGTTCAGGCTCTGCCTGGTGACAGGGCGGTCACTCACGCCAGAGGTCCTTGCTCTTGGTCTAATGCTCTGCTCTCCCTGACCAAAGGAATTCAAAATCACTCTTGAGCAAGGACCCCGGAACCCTGCATTCTCAGTTTGCACAGGCTGTTACCAATCCTGCCTGCTGAGCCGAGGCACTCTTTGCTAGTAGTGGCCTGGCATCTCCTGTGCCCACCTTCTGTTTTCGTTTGTTTGTTTTGTTTTAAATAGCAGTCAAGTCATTTTTGGTTTACTTATGGAACAGAATATCTCATGCTTTCCAGGTAGCAGGGTTTTTTTTTCCAACAACTCTTTTCATTGTCTGAATTGAGACAAGTTTTCACTCTGTAGCCCAGGTTAGCCTGGCACTGTATAAAGCAGGCTAGGTTTCAGCCCACTGTGATCAGGAATGTCAGGCATACACTACTGTGCCCAGCTGTTTACTTTATTTACATAATTGAAATTATGTCATGCATAATTTAATTAATGATGCTAACTATAGGCAACACTAGAGACAGAGTTCTAGTCTCACTTCTGCTGTGAGTGTCGGGTCTGCGGTTCTCGGAGGGAGAGACTGTTCCAGGCACTTGTGTTTTCAGTCTCCAGTCCTTGCTGGATTCCTCCTTAGGCCGTGTCTCCTAGGGTTGGTTCTATCAAAGCTGGGCTTCAGAAAGGCCTGACTGGGGGAGAGTGAAGCCAGATGTTCACAGACATTTGGATTAACTTTCCCCTTTTAAGCCACTTTTCAAATCTAAGACTTTCTGTGGAGCAGACAAAATTCTTTGCCCCCTAATGCATCAAAACTGGATTAGGAATTACAGTCAAGTAACTGTTTCTTGCACATCTGTGGAGGGATTCCATGTTGTTCAAAGGTTAATATTATACATTTTTTAGACGGTAAGTTTTCTGATAATTGGCTGTGATTGTTTTACCCACATGTTGATTTTCCAAAATTGAAGTAGTTATGCTGTGTGTGTCAGTGAGCATGTGTTCGTGTGTGTGTGTGTGTGTGTGTGTGTGTGTGTGTGTGTGTGTGTGTGTGTGGTGTGACTAGAGACTGAACCCAAGGCTCTGTTCATGTGGACAAGAGCTCTACCATTGAGCCACAACCATATCCTCAAGCAACCACTTTTGTAAAGTTTGATATTTTGTATAAAACCTTGACTTCTAAATTTTAAAGCTTGGAAGGGGCTAGCATTAACTGCACAGCTTTCTTTGAATGAATGAAGTAGTGAGGTGTGATCTAATGTTCAATTAGTATTACTTTTTCTCTTTATAACATCCAGTTCACATGGACTTGGGGTTGTGGAGGAGGAAGAAAAAGAAAATACTATTCCCACCAGCAGTGATGACATCTTTATTACAAGTGTTTTACATATGTGGCTGTTTCTGAAACATTGTGTTCAATTAATTTATTCTCTGTTTGCATCTGTCTTATCCCACTTAACATAATAGTCTCTAGTTCACTTATTTCCTGAAAATGACACAATTTTGTTTTTTCTTTATAGCTGCATAAAACTCCACTTTGTATTTATACTATGTTTTTTTAAGGGAATCATATGTTGACAGACATCTAGACTAATTCCCTGTTTTGACTAGTGTGAATACTATCATAATAAATAAGGATGTTTGGACACTGCAGATGTATGTAGCCATACTTTTAAAACAGTTCTTACTTGTTACACAGCAAACTTCTTCTTGCTGTTGAAAGCATTCTGACTGCTGTTGATGGGTCTACACATCATTTCTCCCCTGGATGGATAATCCTCAAGAAATTACAGCACTTCAGTGTTAGTCTGGGGAGCAGGTCAGTCACAGATGATGTAGTCATCATACCCAGTGATGTTACAATGTGGTCACAGGGCATGGATCTGTTTATGACTATTTCTCTGCTGCCAAGCCTGATGGTCTGAGTTCAATTCCCCAAACGCACAGGGAGGAAGAAGATTGATTCCTACAGAGCTTTCCTCTGACCTCTGATCCACACATACAACAGGATAAATAAATAATTCATTTAATTCATTAACCAGAAGATAAGACCTCTGCTGCAGATGTTTTATGAACTCACTAAGAAGCAATGTGCTCATATTTTTTCTTTCTGTCTTCACTATTGTAACACCAATCTATTAAATTATGTCAAATGGCCCTTTCTTCATTAACTTTCACATCCTGGCTCCTCTTTAGGAGGCCATAAGTGCATTTCCCAGCTCCCCCTCTTTTTTTCTTTTAACTCAGGTAATCCTAAAGTGTGCTGAACACCAAGGGCTGGCTGCTGTGAAAGAAAATACCGCACAGAAAGCCTTGCAGTCTGAAGGGAGCAAGAGAAGGGAGCTGTCCTAACAGTTCATCTTGGAACAGTGGGAGGATTTATGTTCTGGCTGTGTAAGCTGAAAGTGCAGGAGACGGGACTTGCTAGACAGGTCCCTCAGGAAAGCTGTGCCGTGCGCTCCACGCCACATCAAGCAGCTTTGGGTCCTTCTTCAGGAACGAAGATCAGAGTGACTGTCTCACTAATTCTAGAGGTTTGGCTCTGTGTCCCACCTATCTCCTCCTCCTCCTCCTCCTCCTCCATCCAGTGGTAGCTGTGAAAGAGAGGACTGGGGGATGACTGTGCACTCAGGACTCACTGGGTTTGGTTAGATGGAAAAGGCGAGTAAACTGAGGACAGGCGGGACATAAAGAGCTGCCTTCACTACTTCACTCAACACCATTTTGGTCTCTAAAATGATTGTTATTGGTCCAACTTCTATTTGAAACAGGCCTCGCAGAGGGCACATCAGTTACTTCACAGCCCCTGAGTTCCTGCCCCTAGCTAAGCCGATCACCAAACTGGTGATGGTGAGCCGCTGAGGCACATGCATTACCAGAATGGAGAGAGGAGAGAAAACATTACTAGAAGAACATAGGTCAGCTATACATTGCCTTGTTGGAGTGTTTTCGGGAGGGAAACGGTGCTTTAGGAAGGTCACAGGCAGTGATGACAGTGTGAAGAATGAGTCAGGGGAACTGGTGAATAATGGCACCTGACCAGGATGTGGTTCGAGCAAGAGCAACAAGAAGGGGCTGGCTGCTGTCTTTCATTACCTGCCTGTCCCTTTCCCACATCTGCACAGGAGAAGAAACAGGAAGAGCTGGGATTCAGACACGAGAATTTTAGCATGCATTTCGCCAGTGAGTTGTGCTTCATGCACAGATGGTGCTCCTCAAGTGTCTATCTATGTCTATAATCTATGTCTATAATCCCCTAAAATAAGATAGCCAGTAACAATTCTAGCTCCATGTTCTTTTCTTATGCCTGTATGAAGAGTGGCGCATTTCCTCATTTGTGAAATAAGGTAATTAAGTTGGGTAGCCTTCGAGGTCCTGACAGCTTCGATGGCTTGAGGCTCTCCTTTTGAGAAATCAGAGGTTTTGTGATTTCTTACCCAGTTTAAATATTGAGTGACATCTATACAATGTGCGGTGATTTTGTAGGGAATTTCTGAACCTTTCTGTATTCTACTTATGCTAGAAACACCCCGATGCTTAAAATCCGACTCCATTTTCTCCAAGTGGGTTGCCATCACCTTCGAGCCTTTCGATTGGTCATGCGGTACTTGGCATCATGTTAGTGCCAGCCAAGTCCAGAGGAAGATGGTTCTTATAATTCAGTTCATTAGGCCAGTTCAGTTACAAGCAGGGTGGGCTTTGTTGAGTTAAAGCGATGCTTACCGATGGTCAAGTCATACAGCACAGTGTTACCTGCTTCCCTGGGGCAGGTCAGTAGCCTACTCCATCCAGTCTCAGGCTAACAATTATTGATGTTGATTGCTTTGAAGTTGATCAGACCATCCAAAGGCCAAAGCAACAATCTCGGGAGCAGAAATATCATGCATATCAAGCATCATTAACATATCTGCCCAGAGTAAATGTGTAGCTTGGGACAGTGAAAAGGAACTTGCACTAAAGTGTTCTTAGGATTTTATCTTTTATTTCCTAGGAATCCTTAAGGAAGTTGGTAACCTCAGTTATCCAATTAATCTTAATGCTATTTATGAGCATTTGTCATATGATAGGTACCTCTTTAAAGGTTTCTCTGTCATTTTAAAAGTTTTTCATTTATTAGCTCATCAAATTCCTAGACCAGGATCATTGTCAAAACTTTTTGGAGACTCGAAACTATGTAAGGCAGCCCTCATAGTCCCCATCCTTCGCCTTGATTATTAGAGTTAAGAATGGTACTCATGTTGTCAACATGCATCATCAAGGTCAAAGAGCCTCCTTGCTCCTTCCATGTAAAGGGATGGAAGGGAAAAAGTTACGATATTGATAATTTTGTACCTACCACAGTTTGGTAACAGAAAATAGGCTTTTAGTGGTTTGTGTTGGGCAAGTGTTGACAGTGATAATTCTCTGACCTAACATTGTGGTCATTTCTCCTGAAAGAAAAATCAGTTTTCATTTGTGAGGTCTGAAGTGTACATTGTTGGTATTTGCTTACAACTAAGCAAAAAATAAAATTTTCCTTCCAAGAATTATCTTCTAATTAAAATATTGGCAAATTATATCCAATGTATAATATTAGTATGTATTGTTCAATTCCTATAATTTGACCTGATAAAAAGTAGAAAGAAAAGCAAGAAATTCTCACAGAAGACTTTTCTCCAGAAATTATATCCTGCAATCAAAATCAAAATAGACTTTCCAGCTAGACAGGGAATTCAGGTCATGCCTGCGAGCCAGCGGTTCTGCACAAGCTCATACATGGTTAGAACACATATCAAAAGCAAAGTCTCTCTGGTGCTCTGTTTACCAGAAAGTCCTTTCAGCAGTTTCTGTAAATCCTCACCTTGTTGCCAACCACTGATTTGAGGTTCAAAAGCAACCAGAGAATGGAGCAGTTATTTCTGTGACTTTTCATTAATTCTGGGCCTATGGTGGCTGAGCATCTTTCTTTCCGGAAGCTCGGAGGCAGTGTTCACTGGGCTGCTGTGCTAATTTGTACTTTGGAGCAAGGCTTGAGCTGGGACATGTTGCAGAAGGGATGCAAATGGATTGGGTAGGAGCTGTGGCACCCAGTCGCTGGAGTTGGAGGTGGCTAGGCACGATTTAACGATTACTCGGTTTACATTTAATTCTGACGATAATTCTGAATTCTGATGATAATTCACTATGTGTGACTTCTTCACGTAGAAGTCCTAAAGAAGGACACATCAAATTCAACAGGTCACATAAGAATTCATTAGCACTCCCCCCACCCCCGAAAACTTGCTATTCTTTTGATATTTAGTACCTTGATCTTTCAAAATAATATTTTTTTACTCTTTGAAAGTTCTATACATTTAAACAAATGTATATTGATCATATCCACCTACCACTACCTCCCTCTTAAGCCCCCAGCATCCCCACCCTCCACACCTGCATTAATTATTCACTATCCATGTAGAAATCCAAGCTAGAAGGCACTCCACTCCTCTTGATTCTTCCTTTCATCCGGCGTTAATACTCAATGAACGTCTCCTGACCATCCCTTCCACCTCTAAAATGTCTTTGGATCTGCTCGTTCCTGCAACCGCTATCCTCATTTTCTCTCTCCTGGATCTTTGTCAGAGCCTAATGGGTCTGCCCGTCTCCAGGGCAACCACTTTCTATTCCACCCACTGATCTGTGCCAGGGTGTGCTTTCTGAATAGCAAATCTGATCTTGTCACTCACACAATTAAAATCCTCCAGTGGATCCCAGCCACTTACAGCGTGGAAATTTAGGCTCCTGAGCTCAGCCTACAAAGGCTGTTTTTAATTTGGCTTCTGCACCGTCCACCTGCAACTCAAGCCGTCCTCTCCTAATTTTTCAGTTTGGCGTCATGTCATGTGCTCTGGAGCTTCCAGGCTTTGCATCTCCTCCATCCCACAGGCACCTACTCATTCCTTCTAGAAGGAATTCCAGGGACACCTGTTCAGAGCTGCTCAGGTTCCCAGTCCCCTCTGCGCCTAGTCTCAGCAACAACCTCACACGCAACCTTGTTTTTGGATGTATTTCCCCCAGCTTTCTTTGAATTCATTTGAGCACAGTGTTTGTATCCTCAGCTTCTAGCCAAGCGCCTGGCAGAGGAGAGGAACCCACTACATGTTTGCTGAATATGAATGAATACGGAGGCAGCTGGTTTCAGTAGCAGCAGAGCCACCCTGGGCATGCAACTTAAAGTCCTTTGAGACTTTGTCCTCATTTGCAAAATCAGGGACAAAACAAGCGCTATCTTCCTGTGCTGTTGAAAGAATTAAAGAAGACACTGGCGTGCTCTGTAAACTGATGTGCTGGTGTAAGAAAGTGCCTCAATACACAGCAAATGTCTATTTTTTAGAAGGTATTGTGTGTGTGTGTGTGTGTGTGTGTGTGTGTGTGTGTGTGTGTGTGTGTGTTTATGTGAGTTTGTGTAGGTATGTGCATATGAATGCAAGTGCTCTCAGAGGCCAAAAGAGGTCTTTAGAGGCCCTGGAGCTGTAGTTCCAGGTGGTTGTGAGCAGCCAGACTTGGGTGCTAGCAACCCAACCAGGGTCTACCGGAAGAGTAGCAAGTGTTTGTAACTGCCGAGCCGTTTCTCCACTGCCCCCCCCCACATGTTTTAAACCTTATTTATAGATACACATAACAAGCAAGGATACTTCACAAAACAGTATTGTAATCTGCCTTGCTTCTATCGGTCTCCTGGTAAATTTATCTGGCAGGGTCTGGCCCAGCATCCTTCCAAGCTGCTTCTGTCCTGGAGCAGGCAGAGCTTAGCATGCTCCTGCCTGGCTCTACATGCACTTGAGAGTGCTGGTTTCTCTTATAGATGGCACTGGTCCATTTCTTATATTTATCTTTTCTACATTAGTTTGTCATATCCTCGGGGTTTGTTCTCTTTGCCATCCTTCAAATCGAGTCAGATTTCCAGATCAAACTGAGGACAAAGTAGACAGAATATTCAAATACTAACAGTTCTCCAGACTGCCCTGCTTCTGGTAGAAGATTGGTCCATGAGGTGACCCCTGTGCTCCTGAATCCTTCTTTGAGTTTCCCTTGATGGCCACTTGAGTTTTGCATGGGGCTCCAGAGTGTGCTGGAGATCCCCCAGGTCACTGTCATCCCCGACGTTTACTTCAGAGTTCTGTGGACACAGCGCTCTTGGTTTCTCAGCATCAAGTGTGTGAGACTGGCATGAGCACCCCCACTACTCAGGTGCATCCCACCTAGATAAAAACCCAAGTCTTCCCTGGACCTCCTCCCTTCCTTTTTCCTGAGCTTCGGGCCTCTCTCTCTTCCTACTCAAAGTCCAGTACCAGCAATGTTTTTACAGGATGGTTAATTGTTCCTGGTGATTTGCTCAGCATTTTGCCCTGTGCTATGTACAGTACATACAGCAAATCACATTTCCTTGTATGAAATCTTCAAGGCGTTATTATCAATGTCCCTCTTTGAAGGGTGAAAGACTCAGAGAAGCATGACTTGGAGACAGGTCAAAAGGCTTGAGTCTGCTCATGACCAGGATGAGATTCTGCCCCTGAAGCATCCAGATGCTCTCTCTCTTCTCCCATCTGCACCTTTGCCTTCCTCTGAGGCCTTTACCCTCTCGCCAGTGACATGTGTCTACCATGTCTAGCTGTGTCTACCTCTCTTTGACTCATGATTTGCCTACCTGTACACCATGGTAAATCACAACCACTTCCACTGTGTGACCTCCAGCTGCCTCCGTCTTTATATTTCTCCCGGTCCCATGTCAGGTTTCCTTCAGCCTTTGAAATGGATCAGAAGGCAAAAACCAGTGACTCCTTCTTCTGTGTATTCCCAAATTCTGTCACAGGCTAACCTTGGCCAAACCTATCATACAAATATGTTAATGGGCTTTTCTGACATAAAAAGCAGGAAGGAAGGAATGAGTATAACTTTTACCTCTCCATTGTGTCTGAGTCGGGGTCTCAGGGAGCTGAGGCTGGTCTCCAGCTCCTGATGCTTAGCTTCTGGCTTCTTCCTCCTGAATCCTGAGACTCCCACACCTAGTGCATGTGGTGTTGGGGGTTGAACATGGGGGCTTTGTGCTTGCTGTAGCTGCACCGCTGCTCCCCTTTTTCTGCATGCATGGAACTGAAGCCAGGGCCTCACACATGCTAGGAAAAACACTCAACCATGGAGCTACATCCCCAGTCCAAAACTCTAAAGACCATGAACTATGAACTATCATTTATTTCATTCAAAAGTTTTAGTATGTTAATTTATAATCTATTAAAAAAAATTCTCCGAATCCAACTACTAGATAGTCATGTTAGTTTTGGTTGAATAAAGGCAATACATTTATTCATAAATGTCAAAATTTGTTTAATTTTTGTTTTGTTTTGTTTTTTTGTTATAACAGGATTTCTCTGTGTAGCCCTGCTTGTCCTGAAACTCTCTCTGTAGACCAGGTTGGCCAGGAATTCAGAGATATGCCTGCCTCTGCTTTCTGGGTGCTGAGATTAAAGGCATGTGCCACCACTGCTCAACTAGAAAACTGATTTTCAAAGGTAGAGAAAGAGCACAAGTTTGAGACCAATCTGCTCCCCATAGCAAGTTCCAGACCAGCCAATGGCTGCGAAGTGGAAGCTTGTCTCAAACAAACAACATAAGCCAGGCCGTGGTGGCGCACTCGGGAGGCAGACAGATCTCTGAGTTCAAGGCCAGTCTGGTCTACAGAGCAAGTTCCAGGACATCCAGGGCTACACAGAGAAACTCTGTCTGAAAAAAACAAAGTGGCTGAAGAGATCCTTCTCTAACATCTAGCAAGATAAGTGGTGGGACTAGAAAAGATCATACTGAGTGAGGTAACCCAGACCCAGAAAGTCCTATGTCATATGTTCTGTCTCATCTGAGTTTCCTAGCTCGTAATCTTCAGATATAAGTGTAGCCCCTGGCTTTATTCACAGGGACTCCTCTTCGCAATGGGCAGAGAACATCAGAAAATCACAGCATCACAGCGGATCAATTTTCAGACCTGTGGAGACCAGCTCCAGTGGATTCACCTACAACTGAACTCCTGCCCCTAAGTCTCAGGAATCATTTCAGAAGAGGGCAGAAAGATCACAGGAGCTGGAGGAACAAAGAGTTTGCTGTGAGATTATATCTCCTAGAAATGTTAGATGCTACATCCATGAAGTCTCATGAGCATGGCTGCCTGAACATGACCTGTACAAGGATAACAACTATAGGCATGCTAACGTGGATGGTGGGAATATCATAAGGCCTCAACCCTACCAAAGAATTACTGGCAACAGGAATGCTAAAAGCAGGAGAGATTGTTTTCCCCAAGAAGAGCACACCCTTTGACTATCAGATACCAAAAGGCCAAATGGTCAGCCCTGAAAACATATACATGCAAACAACATTATATAGAATTAGTAGGTTGTATTTATGTATTTAGGAATGCACACACACACACCACAACCACCAAATGAAAAAAAGAGGCCATGAGCTTGAAAGAGGGGTGGGAGGTGGGGATGGTATATGGGAGAGTTTGAAAGGAGTGAGGGGAAGGGGGGAAATGATATGATTATACCATAATCTCAAAAAAATAAAAGGTAATTTTCAAAACAGGCAGAAAAACAACAATAGCCCCCATCAAAACACCTCACTGTGCTCTCTTCTCAGTTAATTAACTTGAAGGTTTTATTACCATTGGGAACAATCATATTCTTGTAGTTGCTCTCCATGCATTTCTGTGAGACAGACAAGAACAGGCAAGCACACACTGCTTTCTGGAATAAGGTGTACCTGGGTCCAAGTCTCACACCAAACTTGCCGTTCATGGCTTTCCTTATCATCAAATCTCAAGGATCTACTTGAGAAAATTGTAATTAGAAAAATGGGGAGAGCAAAGTTAATTTGAAATGCAACTTTTAACTTGCATGTTCTTGAGCATGTTTTACTTATGTAGAGTAACTTAAAACAGTAATTCTACTCCTCAAACTCACAACATGGCACAGGAAGACAACAAATAAATGTTCTGTATGAGTCAAAAGAGGCATTGTTATAAAATATACCCTCTAGACCCTCGAATTGAAACCTATACATTTCTGTCTGTATGTGGTTGTGCATTTTCTTAATCCTCAGAACAAGTGAACATGTATTGATCTACCAGAATAACAGAGCTCTGTTTAGCAGTTCAGCTCACTCCTGCTCTAAGGACCCTTCCAGTTCACCTGGACAAAGATGAACAGTGAGGAGACTCAAGGTAGCCTTGTTCGGTATGCCATGGCCCTGGTAGCTCATGTATTTGAAAACTCATTAGCTGCTAGTGCAGTTTTGAGAGGCTGTGGAGCTTTGGGAGTGTGTGGCCTCATCAGCAGAAGCAGCTCTATATGCCACTGGATCCAGTCTAGCTCTGTTTCCTGGTCAGCTACCGAGAAGTGATCATTTGCCTGGTACTCCCACCGACACAGACTAATACGTACATAAACTCAGCCATTTCTACCTCTGTGTCTCCACCATAGTGGGTGGAGTCCTCTGAGACTCAGTCTAAACCAACCCCTTTTCCTTGCAAGTTGCTTCTAT